GAACCCAGGCACCGGTTTCTGAGGCAAAACCAAAGTGCATGAAGAACAATCCTGCCTGGTCCTGCTCCTTTCCCCTGCTGCTGGCCCTTGCGGGGGGGGGTACCGGGTGCTGCTGCGCCTTGTCACTGATTTTGGGTGATAAATAGGCAGATTTGGTTTAATGATAGTGTATTTTACCATTTAAATGGTGTACGTTGCATTCCTTTGCTGATCGGACGCCGTGTTTCAGCAGAAGAATCGCATTGCTTCGTTAAGATGAAAAATTGAGAGAATTCTGTGGGGTTACTGGATTCCCAAAGGAAAGGAGAGGTGCCAGTGCTGCAAAAACAGGAACAGAGACCGAACGCCTTCAAACTTTATTGGTTTAGACACACAGTCTGAAAAAATACTCTGCATTCCCGACTGTCAATTCATATTAAACAAGCATATACATTTGGTTATAGGATTATTGATCGAAAATAAACTATTACAGAAAGACTGCTGCGTCTTCAGAGAACTTTGCAACAATTTTTTTCATAAAGATTGGTAAAATCGGGTTCTGGTATTCCTTTGGTTGGCGTTTTATTTGACGTACTTTTTCTTTACAACACGTTTAGTATAGGCAGGCATCCTGAGCGAGTTCATACGGATTGTGAGGACAGAGTGCTGGAGTAACGACAAGTTTTATAAAAGAGCTTTTATTGTGTGGCAGTCCACGAGAAAATCTTATCAGCGGCTTTGAGAAATGTGACAATTTAAGTTTATACAAAAGTTTCCCTAGATGACTTTTTGATATACATGCTAATATACCAAAACTGAAAAACCTTACAGTTCAGATTTTTTTTTTACACAAATGTTATATTTTAACCGCTTCACTTTCAGTTGAAAATAGGCAACAGTTACGGAAATGCCTCATTTGTTCTCTGCTTGTACTTTCCTTAAAATACATAACAAAAAGCTGAAAGAAGTGAAGGGCTTAAAGGGTCTCTAGATACCTCAGAGAACATTTTATTTTGGAACAATTCCAGGGATCTAACACTGTTTCCCTCCCAGACTTCAAGCATCCAGATTTCTCCTCCAAAAAGAACAGCCTCCGTTTCATCACTTCACAGGATTAAAGATGGTATAGAAACCACTAAATGTGCAAAGTACTGAAGAACATTAATTCTGAGAAGAAACAAAGATCTGTCTTTTTTTTTTTTCCAGACAAAACCAAAGTGAGCTAAAGATACAAAAAGTACGCAGACAGAATTGCCTCTAAATAAAATGCTTTTCCAAATTTTCCGTAAGGCATCAAGAGGTCTTTAAGTAATCTGTTACCATGCAAAAATAGTTCTCTTTCCCAGTTTACATTCATCTTGTAGTAGTTTATTTACATGTAGATCACCAGTTTGTGCTTTTAACACATGGAAAATTAAAAAAAAAAAAATCTAAGTTAATTTGTTTCATTCTAGAAGTCAGATTATTTTCAGTTCTATGCAAGAATTTCATATTCGTGGCAAAAATGACACTGGACTTTCCTGATGCTGATATATACTTACAGACAGTGATGACAGATTGCAAAACAGCACTTCATCTATAAACACCTCATCATCTCTCTCTCACCTGATGTGCATCAAGCATTTTAACCTGCAAACGTGCCTTTCAGGACACAGTAACGCTGCGGATCTCCTGCCAACACGGGGTTAAGACTGTCTGGGATGGTTTCTGCTCACACTAGTGTCTTTGACCATTTCTGTGGCAGAACAGTATTTTCTCTGTGCAATATATTGAGCAATTAACATAGAAAATATATAACTAAGCAATATTCTCTTCCTGGAAAATGTGTTTTATTCTGGTTTCTATTTCTGAGCACTGGAGACAGTAACTTGCATTCCCCTTTATGCACCAGCACTTGAGTCTCAACTCTTTCAATAAGATAAATATTAGAAATTAATTTTGTAATTTGTTGTCTTGAGGGAAAAAAAAAAACCCCAAACAACTGGTTATTGGACAGCCCTGGGGATTTTCCTTGGTGGTCACAAGAAGTATTTCAGTTTAAGAAATCTCAGTGCAAAACAAATATCCCTGGAGTTTGAAGAGAAGCATGTTTGTGCCCAGCTCACGCATTACACGTGTTCTTTTCAAGTTTTAGTCTCTTACAACATCGCTATGATTGTCATGGGAGAGTGACCTGCAGAGGAAACTCTGATTACATGAGAAAGTGTTAAAGAAAGCTTTTAGTTTATTTATACAGCTTTTCACAAGTTCTGAAAGTATTCACACTTTTGGTGTGACAACACAATTTCTTCCAAATTTTGCATCATGCTAGTGTGGCCAAGTCTGGATTTTTTTCTTTCTTACTTGTTTGGTGTTCATAGCTTTGGCCCTAGTGCATCTGATATTTTGCATCAAATACCAAAAGAAGAATACAGACATATTATTCAGCATTTTATACTGAAAAATAACAGCCACTTAAGCAGTAAATAAACTCATATTGGGATCTCCTATACTTACACAGAGCCAGAGTTTAGTTATCTAGGAAAGTCTGGCAAACTGAAATCACATCAGGAGAAAGTAAATTAAATTCATTTGGTAGAAAAAGGTCAGTGGAAAATAGCTTTTCTGTACTTATTTAGATGAATAGTTATTTTTTATTATTATTTTAAAAGCATGTCGCATCAAAACAAGACAGGAGATTGTACTGAATCTACTTCTTCATTGCTTCGAAGCATGCGTATATAATGACTGTCTTTTGGCTGATACAAAAAAGGAGATGAACTGGACTCCGCAGAGATGAAAATCCATTAGGACTTGACCTAAAGAGACAGAGTTTATACAGTAATTCCTATCCTGTGTAGACGTGGCAGATGCAAATTCCCCAGGGATGCTGTTGCTGTATACATTGGTGAGGAACGAATGTATCATCCCATCAGATGACAGGAGCAGAGTTTCTGACTTGCTTTGGACTGATATGAGTCACTGCACTGGAATCAAATGAGGAATCGGGTGCAAAAAGGGATTCAGACAAATCCTTCCACATTTGATAAAACAAATCGCTATGTTCTTTATAGGATTGATTTTTGTTTCCTTTGTATCCTTTTGTTCTGAAATTACTGCAATAAATCAGTCTCCATGTAACACTAACCCTTTAATTCAATTTATTTCATTTTGAAGCATGCAATGGAATTTCAGAGGGAAAAATAAGAGATTATTTAGATTAAAAATTGAAACCTTTAGCTTCAAAAGTCTACAGTGGATTCCAGTTTAAGAGAAAAAATAAGTGTGCTTTCACTGTCCTAGCAAAGCAGACCTAGCAGGCACAGCTCCATGCTAGTACGCACTGGTGCAACAAACAGCAGCTATTAAAATACACAGAGATATTTAAGACCCTGTTTAGCAGAAGGAAGCCACTGATAGTCCAAGTATTCAAGCGACTTGACGTTACAGTTTTCTCAGTGTTTTGTACCGTGCTTTAGACCAGGAGAGAGCTCCAGAGTCTGTGCCCATTCCACGTAGAACTTTGCCCCTTTCTCATGGCTGGTTGGGAAATCTCCAGTTTCATCCCGACAACTTGCTGTTTGTTCCAGAGAGCCCACTGGAAGCGATGACAGCGGGAACCGAGGCTTTCAGACGTATGAACATAAAGATATTTTCTTAGCAAGCCTTTCTGCAGCCATGTCCAATGTCCTACCATCCCACGACACCTTCCAACAGCAGTGGCCAACACAGCCCTTCACCCATCCCGGGGGACCTTCTGGAGCAAGATGTCCTTCTCTTCCGTGGCCGGCCAGAGGATACCCAGCACTGCTGCATCTCAAAAAGGTTTGGCCTTTTTCCCAAACTAGTTTGTTTTGCTAAGCCCCGTTCAGAATTGCAGCTCATGCCTTGTGCTCCATTTCTCAAAGGGAGTTAGTCCAGCTGGACGATGCAGTATTAGCAGCATGTAAAGTAATAAATTAGGGACTGGGAGCAGATGGGTTAATGTGGACTCCCCAGAAAGCTGCAGCAGAGCCAGTAGTGCTTTTGCAACCTTCTCACTTTGAGGAGTTCAGCTGTCCATGAGCTGATGGAGACCCTAACGTCAAACCAGCGTGCCAGGGAGAAATTGAGGTTGGATGGAAAGGAAAGAGAGAGAATTCTATCCTACCGCTTCCTAACCTGTTCTTGTCATTTCAAAGTAATATCTGTTAATATAATAATAATAATAATAACAATAATAATAATCTGTTAGATGTAATATACTAATAGGTCTATAAAGTACAAATAGCAGGAGATTTGTTCCTATTTCTGGTTGTTTGTTAGGTCATTAATGCTTAAATCAAATCAATGTCATTTATCTCCTGGAAAAATATAAAACCCATCACTTAATATATAAACGAATATCCAGCTTGAAGTTCCAGATTAGGGAAAATAGACTTTCACCATCAATCACTGATTGTTTGAGGTAGACCACATTATTCAATTATCCACAATTTTAGTTGCTAATGTCTTAGGTTATATACAATCAAATATCAACAGACATACCTGAATTTTTCCCTATTTTAATTAAAAATGTTTGTAGTTATTAATAAGGTAAATTTCCATAATTTACCTGGTCATAGATTGACATTTCTGTATATTTTGTGGCAATTTAGCATAATTCTTAGTAGTACCCTACTGTGTACATAGAGTAAAAAATAAACTGTGTAACACCTGATGGAAAAAAGAAGGAAGATTCTGGTTAGTGGTGAAATCTTAGAACAACGAAAGGCTCAGATGCTTATCCATTTCAGCTTTGTCATTCTGGCTCTGGACTTTTGAGTATTATTCTAATATTGCTACGAAGTCCGTTATTCTGAAGATTCCTCCCGTGCTTTCAGATGGAGATGCTTGAATATAGCTCTTCTATTTGTTTTTTGAAGTAATCTCTTAGTTCTGGTCTCTTAGCCTTTAATGTTGGTGTCAGCAAACCGTTTTGTACTGAGAACATATCGGAGTGAATGTAAATGGCTTTGACCTGAAATTAAAAAAAAGGATATTTTTATAGCAAAAATTACAGGCATCACACTCAATAATCATCAGTTCTTAGAGCAGCCTTGCTGCGTTACCTCCGGCTGTGCCTGGAGCCCTGTGCCTGGTGCATCCTTAAAAAAGGAGAATTGATGGCGTTTTACTAGCTAATGAAAATGGTATAAAATCATTCAGCCTGGGCAAACAGGATTTTAGAAGGCTGCCCTTGTTCCCGGCGCTGTCTCCGAGCACAGCAGGAGCCTGGCAGTGCAGATGGGAGCGAGCTTTGCCTTCCAGAGCATCTGTGGGAGCGCTGGTGTGGGAGAAAGCAGAAAACTGCTGCGTGACTGGTCATAGCCCACCGATTTCAGACAAAACTCCCCAGCCATCTGCTGCTTTCCTGATTCCCCAAACCAGACTGCTTTGCATTTTGTTAGACTGGGATTTGCAGGAAAATAGTCTGAGAATCAGTTTTTAAATTCCCATGAGATTTGTGATTCATTTTTCCCCCTGTAGGCAGTGTGGTCCAGTTCCTCCCCCAGTGATGTCCTTCACAAAATCAGCGTTCGTGCTATGAATGCCTCCCCCGCTTGCTGGGAGCTGCTGGCTCTAGAAGCCGGAGTTGTCATTGCCAACATGAGGACCAAGGTCAGGGCTCTGGCACAAGGACGGAGATGACAACGAGTGGCTCCTCCATACACAGGGGAGCCCATTCTACAGAACATTAGCTATCATATCTGGCTCAAAGTTTTGATTTTAAGATTGTGTACCACAACAGAGCTGCTAATTTTGAAGCCCTTTAGTTTGGAAATGAAAAACATTTCTTCTTCACTTTTAGAAGGATGGCACGGCTTTCCTCGCTGCTTTGTAGTTCATTAATTGCAAACTGCTATAGAATAGATTACTTGAGGGTGTTTCATACTGTGAAGGCTATGGCAGGAGCAAACCAGACTTACTACCACACACAATTATGTGCATCGCAAACCGTGCTTTATATTGAATTTTATTTTAAAATTAATTTATTTTTACTATCATTTCATTTGCATGTGTGACTGAGAAATGAAGAATAACAAGTTGCTGTTTAATGGTGTTTCTGCTGCGCTCAGATATAGTGAATTACTTGTTAGAATTGCCACCCAGAAACAGCCTAAACAAAAGCAAAAAGGCCCTTGCTAATTTATGTAATGATTAAGATGTTCATTATTTTAACAGAAATAAACAGGTGACATTTTAAACTGTGGTGGTTTGTTGTTTGTTTTTGGTTTTTTTAACGGGGTTTTTAATGCTATGTAATCCATGGTTGATTTCAGATCTCTCCTTCTGAAGTGATTGTAGCTCTGTTGCAGAAATATTTACACAAACACCAGAAAAGAATTAGTACACAGGCTGAAAATAAACAAACCAGCAGCATTTCCTAGGTCAGTTACAAGGCGGGTAATTAGTGACCCAGTTTCTGAGCAGTGCTTTCAGTGGCAGAAGCACCAGAGTCCTCCAGATATTTCTCTTGACCGCTGGCTGTCAGACTGGAGATTATCCATATCCCTGGATTAGATTTTGACCTCTGCACCCAAAGCTTTCACTAAATTTAATTCAGATTTCAAGCCTGAGTGGAAGGCAGGATCACAGTGTGTATATTTTCCCAAGGAACAAATACAGCTCGCCAGCAGTAAAGCTCTTTCTGAAAACACCGTGTGCAGCTGCAACAAGGATGTGTAGTAACAACAAATGCTGGCAAAGCCCCATTTAGGGCAAACGGACAAATTGTCTGACCACACCAAATAATGTATGAATTGTTTCATTTACCTGCTCGAAGGAATGTAGCCCGCTCTCCTTCCCCAACCGTACCATGTCTTCCAGTATCGCCTGCTGCAGAGCCTGGGGTAAAACACACCGATTCCTCATGAAGTATCAGAGCCAACCTTACAATTACGGCATCATTCATCAAGAAAACACATTTCTGAGTAAAGTTCAAGTGCCTTGTTGATACTTAATGCCTAATTAGCGAATATGCTATTAAAGAAATGTACAAACATTAAACATGTGTGATGTTAACTCTTCCCTCAGCCTGAAAGGTGAGATTAGATTTTCAAACATATGTAGCACAGATGCTTAAATTTGTGATCCTTCAACCATTTGCTAGACTTAAATGCAGAATTATTTCCCATGGACACCAATGGGTGACCCAGTGGCATCCGTGTTCATGGATGTGATGCGACTCAGCTACTCAGTATTAGCACATGTAAATAAGGCTGGGATCCTTGCTTAAGACATCTCAGCAAATACAACCTCTCCTACTTGTTCTCTGCAAGACAGACCCTTGGTCCCCCCATGGAGGAGTTTGCAGAGGTCTGCGCCATCGGTTGGCACGCATCACTGTATCCAGGTCAGCCCTGCTTCATTCTCAGGAAAGAAACAATCCTTGTCACTGCCATCATTCATAACGGGAAAAAAACATCTGTACTGCAGAGACACAGAAAGACAAACCTTATTTTTACAGAGTTCTGCATATGTTCCTTCAAAGCCTCTTTTCTTCGCCCAGCCTGGCATAACTTCGGAGTCGGGCACCACAATTCCCACCAGGAAGGCCTGGAGGGGAAGGAGAAGGAGAGTTGCAGGCAAAAGCTGAACAACGTTTAAGGCTCTACGCAGAACTGAATCCACAGCCGGCTGAACGTGCTGAGTGTTTATCACTTTGTGTTTAATTATGTCAATAATTTGCTGACATGTCATAGCGAAGTCTGTTTTGGTGTCTGTGCCTTTTCCTCGGGTACAAGGCTCTCTGTGACTGTTCCTGCGTTTACCAACACAATTTTAATACCTTCAGGTGGGTTTGTGTTCTGCTTGGGCATTAATTAAATGTTGCATTAATCAGAGCCGAACGCAGCCCGTGTCATTTACACCCGTGCAGTTCCTGGGCAGACTCCAATGCCGAGGGAAGCCTCGTGTCTGTGGCCACTCGATGGCAGAGGGATGAGCTGCGGTGGTTTCAGAAGCTGTACACGTTTCTATAAAGATGCGAATTAACCGTCTTCATGGCATGTGCAGCTGCAAATAGGCTGTAATTTGGGGAGAGGGGCAAGGCAAAAACAGGACAAGACTGGCCAAGACTGGCCAAAACAGGTAGGCAGTGGCCATGGAGCAGCGTGGCTTTGCCCTCAGCTAGCTCGCCGCAGGCAACGTGGCAAAGGAGAGCTTTAGAGAGCCGAAGGGGGACACGGAAACAAATGGAAAGGCTTGAGCTCTGGCCACAACACCCTCCAGACTGCTGGGGGTCACACCAGCAGCTCAGCTCCAGAACAGGAGGGAGGCATTGGGGTAAAAATGGGGCACGATCCACTCCTGCTTTCCCCTCGTTCATGCCCAGCTCTCTGTCTTCTGTTTACAAAGAATAAAGTGAGATTTTCTGAAGAGTTAGTTCTTACCTGCAGGCTGTCTCCATGGACATAGGTCTGGGCGACGGGGTCACTGCGGATATAGATATTCTCTATCTTCTCCGGTGCAATATATTCTCCCTGAGCAAGTTTAAATATGTGCTTTTTCCGATCAATAATTTTAAGAGTCCCATTCTGTTAGGAGAAAGAAATGAAGAGGTCCCAGAGAAGTTATTAGACCACAGAGACTCAGTAAGCGGTCTGCTTTTAACAGAGCTCGTTCCATTGCCAGGAAATGCTTCACTGACGTATCAAACTTATTCTGCAAAATAGAAACTTAATCCTTTGTGAAGGTAGATCTGCTTGGAAATTTAAGTTCAGTACTTGAAAATATACATGGGATAATACAGTTGAGATAAGAACTAAGCGTCTGACCAGTACGCACAGGTAACCATTTCCCAATGTCTCCAGTGTGCAGCCAGCCCTCTGGGTCCAGCGCTTCCGTGGTCTTCTCTTCATCTTTCAGATAACCTTTGAAAACATTTGGTCCTTTCACACAAATCTGCAAAACAGCCAGAGTTGATGATAAATTATTTTATTATTCTGCTATAAATACTAACAAGACAAGTAGTGATTCACTAAAATGGAAATGTTTTAAAGGTTGACTCAATGACTGTGCTCTGTGAAACTAAAATACATTGAGTTATAAAATGACCTATGGATTTTTTTCAGAGTAATGGAAATTTGAAGTAGGGAATGCAAAACTGATTTGCTTGAAGTTGGTTTGCATTCAGCTTGCAGTTAAAAAAAACCCAAGTTATTTCAATAAGTTTAATTGAGGTGCACTATAGAAATAACAGCAGTGAAGAAATCACAGCAATTCAGCTCTTCGTAGCTGAACTAATTGATTCAGTCTTAGCTGTTCAAGTATCAGGCACGGCACTGGCTGGAAGTACTGCCACAGCCCCTCTTTAATTAATGCTTTGCTGCTCTATTGCTGAATTGACGTTTTCCTTTCCTGATCTTAATATCTGCAACCATGCACCTTACAAAAGTAAAATGATTCTATAACTACAACTTAATGGAGTACTAGCTGCTGAGAATTTGATATAAAATTTGAGGCGTTACCTCTCCTTCTCCTTTGGAAGCAAAATAATTCAACTCTTCCACATCCTTCAATCTGATTAAGTTACAAGGCAAAGGAGCTCCTACGTGACCTGGAAATCACAGTTATCAACCACTCGTCATCTCTCCGATAAACAATAATTAGCATTTTATAATTAGTTGCTTGCACAGCTGCAGATACAGAATTTCCTCATTTAAGGTTTTGAACTATTAACACTAAATAGCTGAACCTCCTCTTTGGATACATATATTTTTTCAAACATGTCGAAATGCAGACCATGCCTCCCTTACCTGTAAGAGACCACTCATTTTTTAAGCTTACCTCCTTACAAAAGCACACAAAGCTCTGGACTCTCATGGTTTTAATCACCTGGGAATCCCACCCGTAGGATGTTACGCTGAACACGTTTCCCCCTGCCCCTGCAGTGGCCAGACCAATTTCCAATGTCCAGGGTACCTACTGCTGTTCATTTGAATGAGGGTAATACCCATTTCAAAACATTTTTATAAATACTGATGAATTATATTGAGAAGAAATTAAGCCGCAGTACTTGTACACATTATCTGTATCTTGCTTAGTGCTAATTTTTAGCTTATTTTGTCAAGATTCAAAAGTTTTGAAAGCCTGAAGTACACAAAGCATTGAGCAGCGGTGGATACGCATTCGAAGCCCGAGTTTGCTCACTAAGTACATGAGTGTATTAATATTTTCTTTTTTCCAGTATTTCATTATAACAAACATTCTCCTAAATTCCCATTTGCCTCCAGCGCTCTAGAGCAGACTCTCAGCGCTGGGAGTGCAGAGATGAGAGTATTGCAAATACCAGCTCAAAGGAAAATCCCAAATCTCCACAGGCAAACGTGCCCAACATCGGATCCCTGGGTATTTATCTGGACCAGTGATACTCTCAAGAACATTACATTTGCTGGAGATTATTCACACAATGGCAAATGTTGCATAAAACCCTGTGATATTCCAGTCTGGAATTTTCTAAAGAAATGTGAATTTCTTTTCTTTCTGGGAATAGTGGAAGAAAATCAATACCTGATGTCCAGTCACCGGGGGTGGTAAAGGTGCATCCAGCTGTGCATTCTGTTTGGCCATACCCTTCGTAAACCTGGCGAAGAAACAGGAATCTTTAAAGCGGTAACAATCATGAATATAGGATTTCACTGTTACAGAATAAAATTCTAAGAATTGCCTTCTGCTGCCCAGTCCTGTCAGCTAATCCTGCCAGCTGCAGTGCACGGGCACACGTTTAGCACAGGGACACTCTCCCCAGCTCTTACAATATACAGAATTTCATTTACATCGCTGTGAATTACCATGGCTCCGTAGGGCTGAAAATGGTGAGAAGACAAGTTCAGCAATTAGCTTTTGAGCTGAGAAGTATGTTACTCTATGAGGGGAATTTATTAGTGGGGGGGAAAAAAGGTATTTTTGTGGAACATTCTGAAAATACACCTTTTAATTTTTTTTTCACCTAATTTTAGGCTCTTGAATGAGGGTTTTGGTTGCCCTGGGCTTCCTAGTCCAAGAGAATAACACAGTGGGCATTTTCAGCGGGTTAAATTGCCATCTAAAGATTATCTTTCTCCATTTATATATAAACCTCATGTAACAAAGTTCCTAACACATGCACAAGCACGTTTAATTGCACATACTCAATTAAGCGCTGAGAGACAGGTGGCATGAGTCTGGACTTTTTTTTGGCAGCTGGCCCCAGGGAAAGCAGCGCTTGCCTGCTGCTCCCTTCCCCTGCCCACCGGTCGAGCTCTGGGGACACTCGGGCGCTGTGTGTATCCTCAGCCCCGCAGCTGCTGTTGGATCAAGCCTGGTGAAGCTGGCCTAAATGTAGCTCAGAGGTCCTAAGCCATCCTCTTTCGTAAATGCGGTGTGTTTCCCAGCTGACAGTGAATGAACGGCTCCAGAGAGCCACACGAGCCCACCTGGCATCCGAGAGCCGCGCGGAGGAAGCCCAGGACGGTCGGAGACGCGGGGGCAGCGCCGGTGACTATCATGCGAACGCACCCACCCAGGCTGGCCTGTTTGATAGGGTAAGAAAACAAAAAAAGCATCACAGATCATTACAGGTGGCTGAAACAGCAGCGTCCATGAGCATCGCTTGTACAGAACTTGCACAGAACGGTCCCACTCTGCTCTCTCTAGAACAGAGGCTGTTGTGCTACAAAAATATGAACTGGCCCTGGATCTTCCCTTAGGGATAAGAAGCCAACTAAATCTTAAAAGCAATAACTGTTTCCCTCACAGATAGAAATAGTGCCCCAAGAAAAAAAACATTGGATGTGTGGGGGTGGGAGCCCCACAGCCCTCGGAGGATGAGCTGCTCCGACTCGACTCCTGCGGCTGCCTGCGCCTGGGAACCATTGGGTAAAAATTGGGCTCTTCCCCCCTCCGGTTTTCTTTGCTTATTTGCACCTCGGTTTTTTTAATGAATTGGCTCCCAAGCCACCTGAAAGAATGCTGTCCCTTTTTTAAGACCTTCAAATATTTCTGGAGGGTTTTACATCAATTCCTATGTTACATTTCTTTTTTTCCCCTCTTCATTTCTTTTTTCTTATTCCAAAAGTAAAAAGAAAACCCAGCACAAAAGAAAGCAACTCCTGGATATATCTGCCACTCTCGCCAGCTCTGGAATCGCCATGCAGCCTGCCTCGTATCTGTGCTCCGTCAGCGCCGCGTGAACTCTGCTGGCTGGGCGCACCGAGGACAACTAATCCGCAGGCGAAAAGTACAGTCAGTTTCTTTAGTTAAAAATAAAGTGGCATGTCTCCAGATAAGTTATCCAATTAAAAAAGTGAAGTATCAGAGCCTGCTGGAGTAGTGCAGCACCCAGAGTACCTGTTTTAAAGCCTTTTTTTTTTTTTTTTTTTTTTTTTTTTTTTTTACCAAGGAGGTGTGTGATGCACAGCAAGCATTTATCCCCACACCCTTATTCTTGTTTTCCTATGAAAAAAAAGACATTTTGGATATGCACAACTGAAACCTGACCCTAAATCCAATCAGATCTATAGAGAATTTGCAAAAAGCTTTAGAGTGACATCTCTTTGATCACTTACTCCTCTTTTCATGACTGCCTTCCTGAATTCCACACCCTCTGGGAGAAGACAGGAGAGGGTTTGATGCAATCCTCTCCCCTGCCCCTTGCTGGGTGTGAGCGGGAAGAACCCATTTATCCCTGGGGCACAGGCAGGGGCCACGATGGGTACCCGGTCCCCACACGGAGGAGGTGACAGCAGCCCTGGTGTCGGGCAGGAGGCGACGATCCTGCTTCTGGGCAACTTCACCCGGCAGAAGGCAAGTGCCTCCCTCCACTATCCCTAATGGAAACGAGATTTTGGCATCTTATGCATGGTGCTTGAAAATAAATACATAAATAAAAATAAATGTGGCACGAGTTAATGTGAACGGTAATGGAACAACAAACGGTGCTCCATCTCCTTTTTCTATTCAAATTTTCAGTCTGCTAATCGCTAGAGAGTAGCCGTTGCCCACAGCTCATCATCAGGCAAGCATTTTCTATTCAAATTTTCAGTCTGCTAATCACTAGAGAGTAGCCGTTGCCTACAGCTCATCATCAGGCAAGCGGACCACGCCGACTTCAAGGAAAATCAGTCGTTGCTAGAAGAAATGACAGTTCTTTGACTTCAGACTCACTTCTTCAATTCCTTACCTGTATTTTATTAAAGAAGAGTTTATCCCACAAGCTGTCGTTCCTAATGATCCCATTCCGAACTTCTGCTTTTTTCCGTTTGGCGGCGAATTCCAGCAACCAGCGCTTGAGGGATGTGTCCGCCTGGCTGAAGATCTGCGGGAGCGCGGGGTGGTGGGGAGCGCGGCACCCGGGAGAGAGAAAACATCAACACCTGCCCTTGCCGTTACAGCCAGGGGGTTCTGCCAGCGCAGGGGGGTACGTGGCATCAGCAAGACCACACTAGGGCTTTGTTAGTGGGGAAAAAACAAAGGAGTGGGTTGTGTCACTTCATTTGCTGTTGTACACCCTGATCCTTTGGGAAAAAGGGGAGAGGATGGTAGGGCAGGCTTGGACTAGGTTTATATGGTATTTCTATATGATTTCTATGCTAGGATTCAGTGAAATCACGCAATCTGGGCAACTAGGAATGAGACACCTGAACACTTGGCAGCTGAAGCAGGTACCAGGTGATGAGTTGATGGGGGCTACGTTTACCTAAGCTTAATCCGAGACCAGCAGGAACTGCATCCCTACAAAGGAGAAACCCCCAGTGCCCACCCGTCCCTCTAATGAGGCACCAGAACCCCTGATCCCACAGCCCTGACCTTGGGAAAAATTAAATCAGCAGCTTGCACTTAAGCTCAGCTCTAGAGGATAAATCTTCTGAGGAATAAATATTCCCAGCTGGCCAAACAGATTTAACACCATGACCAGACATGCCGGTCTTAAATACCTTTCAAGACCATCTCTAAGTTTTAAATTTTTCTAGATCCAAAAGTCAGCCTCATGGTTACACTGCCTAAATCTTCCTTTTTGCAGTTCCTGATTTTGAGCCGTCATTGCCGCCAGAAAGAGAGATCCAAGTTCCAAAACTGGTTGAAGGGCACAAAAACTCCCAGTGTGTCCAGGTTTGACTGGTGTTTCTGTGATTTAAAAAAATCCCTAATTTCTGGCAATGTCCCCAGTAACCCCAGTGAGAACAGGGCAAGGGGCTAACGCAGAGGGGTTACATATTAATTAATATGCAACAGCCGTCTCTGCAGCCTGTGTAAATAGCAGACTTACAGCTTGGAGCAGATTTATCGGTTACACGGGGTAGGAATATGTTTGCAGTAAGGCAGAAGCAGTATAATGTGCTCAGGAAATCAGCAGGGAATTCTTTCAGCTAACTACTCGAGGGACATAAACTTTTATTATTACAAAAAAAAACCCAAAATGAAACTCACCTTATCGTACATCCTGTTTAACAGCCGCGGCACGACGGGGAAGATGGTTGGGCGCAACGCTTTCATATCGTCCGATAAGAGACGGATGTCTCCTTGAAAGAACCCGATCCGCCCCCCGTGGCAGTACACTACAGACTGGTGGGAGAAACAGGAACACGTATAACTGCTTTGCTTTGAATTCCCCCAGCAGAGCATCCCTCCCAAGCGCGGAAATGCCTTTCCTGCTATTCTGCTCTCCAACAGGGCAAAAACAGGGCTTTAGAAATACATATTGTGCACTGAACAGAAATCTAGGGCTAGTTCTGGGCACTTTCCAGCACTGGCAGCTCAGCATCCGCCAAACTGGCCCCTGCTTCTGGAGGAACAAGGAACCAAAGCTGTTAGAAGGGATTTCTAAAGGGAGAAGTGTGAGTTATGGTCAGATTCTGGATCTGAACTTCTCTGAAGCCCAGACCTACAATAGCAGCTGACAGCATGAGGACCTATGGTCGATAAAAAAGTGCATATTACAAAATATTGTAAAACAGACTGACAGCAGCCAATTTTCAGGTGTTAAATCTTTAGTTTTGTTTAAATACAACAATATAGACTATGTTAGCAATATGGTGCCTGATCCTATATCCCAGAAACAGCAGCCCACTTCATCAAAGGTGCTAAATTGTAGAGAAACTACAGATCCAGGAGTTTTGTGCTTGGAAAGAAAACAGAAACTCGGATGGGATCGGAACAGAGCTGGACGGGCGGGATGGGGCTGGGCAGGCTGCCTGCGGGGAGCCAGCTGGAGCAGCAGCTCTGCTCGTCACAACTCCGCCAAGGACTGGTCGCTAACTTGGTAAAAAACTTGGTAAAACTTGGTAAAACTTGTCATTTTATCACTGGAGAGCATCCCAGCCTTCCTGAGCCCAGACCAGTGCACTCACTGAGCTCTGCCAGGGGTAGACTGAGAACATCATCTCCCTTTGGTGGACTTGTCCCCCACAAATAACTAAACCAGTTTAAAATTCCTTGAGAGACACCTGAGTCTTTTTGTGCTGCTCCTAAAAATCTCTCGTTCTAACCGCTGCTCTGTCAACCAGTTAGAGATTGTCTCCATCAGCTGCAACCACCGGAATTTCGTACGTGTGATGTGGGTTTAATGAGCATCACACCGATAAATCTGCTTTATACATGATGTGTGTTTAATGAGCATCACACCGATAAATCTGCTTTATACTGCACATGCACATGAATTTAAAAAAACTGAAAATATAATCAGCGCTCTCATTGGGAATTACAAATAACTATTAGACATTTTTAGCTTTAAAGAATGCATCTGTATAATTTTTAACTGTAAGTTCCAGGAACTACTAACGTTGGCTAAAACTAGGGAAGCCGACCCAGCGCTTGCTGTTCAGAATGCTTTTGAAAAATTCCTTTTCAGCCCTTTTGAAAAAAATCTTTATATTGATGAGGTTTTTTTAGCAGGGAGGATAAACCTGAACATCCTTTGGACGCCTGCCCTTTCAATATGGCAACATCCTGTGAAATTATGTTATTTCAAATACTTCTAAATTTTTTTCCCACCAGGTGATTTTTTAATTATTATGTTCTTGTTTGCTGGCAGAGCGGTTTGCCTGAATAGTGGTGGCATACTGACCAACTTGCCTTTTAAAATGAGGCTTACAAGTGAAGACGGGCTGGGCTGTATTTCTCCAAATCTTTCACAGGCTTTCACGTCCAATTTGCAAGTTTTTGAACAGGGCAGAATATATTATTTCTGGCACAGACATTACTGCAGAGTGGGAGGCTTATATTCGGATACTTGTCTGGCTCAAAAAATACCCTTTCAGCCCCAAACAGTCCTCCCTGAGAAGGTCTAGATCTGCAGCTGAATCCAGATCCAATCTTCACGTATTGGATCAGTTTTCACTTTGCAGCATCTCAGGCCAGGAGCACTGCTGTGGCTGTCTCATCTGACGTGCCTAACACACCGACTGCAGCACGAAAAGAGCTGGGAAAAGTCAGTTCAGCGGGCTGCAGGAGTTAGCACTGCTGTTTGCCATCCTTTCCAGGGGACGCTGCCTTCCAGGGAATGCCCACCGAACGCTGCCCCGCCAGGAGGGTCACCTGCCTCACACCTTGGGCTTAGTTTCCCCTTTTTCAATATCTGCAAGTTTTTTGGTTGTTTTTTTTTTTTTTTCAGATCTGGTTATTTATGCAATAAAAGGATTTTAGCTGATGTGGAAATGGCACGAAATTATTTTGACTCCTGTGATACCTGACCCTAGAGTGCTTTGAAAAGCTGCCCCCCCAAATCCTGCAGGTAGGAATTTCTGCTCATTAACAAAGGGCCATTTCCCAATCTCAGAGCCACCAGTGTAAACTGGAGAGCCTGGGAAACTCTCCTGGAATGGCTCTGGACTCCTGGCCCTGATGTTCTGCACGTGGCACTTCTGGAGTACAAGCTGTTTTTAATGCTAGGAGATATTGCTGCGTATTTAGTATTTTATTCATTTTCTTTTTTTTTTTTTTTTTTTTTTTTTTTGGTGTGGGAAAAAAGACGATTTCCACTGACACTAGGACCTTACCTGTACCATTCTCTCAAACATGTGTGCTAAAGGCAAATAGGAAATGTGAACATCCTCACAAGTGGGAGACCACTGACTCTGGAAGAAAACACAAGGAGCCCCACGAGGCCTCGTCAGTTCAGGCAGGATTCTTACCTGTATAACTCTTTCAAACATGTGAGCCAGAGGCAGGAAGGAGATGAGCACATCGTCCTGTCTCGGAAAGATCACTTTCTGCAGGTGGAGGGCATGGGAGACAGAAAGGAAAGAAACACTGACAGGAAGACAACAAGAAAGTCATAAAACAATAAAAAAAGAAAAATGGCACCAGAGGAGCAAAAAGGGTAAAGACTGTCGAGAGAGGAAGGGAGGAGCAGCGGAGGACGGAGGGAAGCGTTAAGCCACAGCGTCGATGGAGCTGGGTTAGCAGGAGGAGTAGAGAGCACGGAGATGTACACAGAAGGACACGGAGAGGTCTCTCCATGGCAGAAGGTGTATCGGATCCACACAGCTCAGCTGGAAACGGAGGCTCGCCCTGCCTGGCAGAGAACTCCTTTTTTATTCTCTGCTTCCTACCAGGAGGTGCTGAGCCCCCCGGTTGTGCTCCTGGCTGTGCGCAGAGCTGCGGGATCCTGGTGCAAACCTGGAGGAGCCTCCTGGGAGCCAGCGGGGCTGCGCGTTGCCCAGAGCCCAGCGGGGATGCACCGGGTTACTGCAGTCCAAGCTATGGATTTTTTCCTTTTCCTTAGGTTAATCATTGATTTGAATCAGAATATGTTGGGGAAATTAATGATTTTTTTTTTCAGATGAAAAATTAATGGTTTCTGTTAGTGTTCATCATCATTTTAAGTGATTAAAATGGGATTTGAAGGGCATTGTCGCTGCCCCACAGATGCAGCAGGGAAAAAGAAGGCTGGACAAATTATGCAAAAAATAAAAAATAACCCAAGTCTTTGGTTTGCCGAGGTTTTAACTCTGTCTCGTGGGCTGGAGTAAAGAAAGGCACTGAGAGCCTTTACCTGGTCCATGCCCCAAAAGACAAGCTGCCTTTCTACCTGCATTTCCCGAGGTAAGGCTTGCTGTAATATTATGGATTAGAAAAACTGAAAGCTTGATTACCCAATAACTTGCACAAAGGCAGTGGTTAGTGGAGAATGGGTATAAAATCGATTAGCTCACAGTATTAGCGGTTTATACCCACTTTGCATCTCCACTGCTGGGACAGAATCAATAGTCCGTGACCTGGGACATGGCGGTGGATGCAGGCACAGGATTTTCTTCCTCGGGGAATATTTTATTGGAGTTAAATCTGGGCAAGTGAGATTTGGGTATGCCCTCCCAACCATCACCTAGTGAAGTCAAACACGATTGACCACGTGGGCGTTTTCAGCATCCCGTTTCGTATTATTTTATGTGTTGGTCTGAATTAAGCTATTAGGGCCTGCAGAGCTATTTATACATTATTTAAAATTAACCTCATTTTCTGCAAGCACAGTAACATAAAACTATTGGCATCACTAGCTGTGCTTTTTTTTTGTTTTTTTTTTTTTTTTTTTTACACTGCTTTAAGTGCCCAGACAATAGATTGGTGGGCCAGGTCTGGAAGTTCTAACTTCTCAACCTCTCTCCAATTTAGTTCTCTTCCCACATGAAGGTCCTGCCCTTTGCAGCTCAGACACAGCCACCCATCAGTGTCCATTTCTGCATCTCGCCGCCTCTGAAGCCAGCGAACGGTCCATGCTGCGGAGCCCGAGGGCTGGCTGCAGCGAGCGGCTGTATCGACATCTCCTACTGCAAACTACGGGAGACACAACCCTGCAAAGGCTGGAACACGTGGGTTCGGTGGGATTTCTGTGATTCCGGAAATCTCAGAAATTTCATGGATTAAGGTACTAAGGCTGCAAGATTTTCTGCACCAATAATAAGACCAACAAGGGGTGTAAGGCAACAAACTGTCCATCCCGTGTGGACATCACGACTTTATAGACTTGCCTGTTTCCTACAAAAAAAAATAGATTCTTTATATTTGTTAGGTACAAACTGCATAAAATCCTTAATATGTTGTACTAAAGCAATTCTGCTTCCTATATTGCTTCTGAACACAAGTTTACACATTGCATGAAACGTTATATGGGTACTTGGCTAGTGATACGCTTTTTTAAAAATATGTGTAACGGAAACCAAAATATACTGTAATATCGATGAAATTAACCATTCTTGTAAAAATGTGTATGTTCTCATAGATACACACTTTCTATGCAGAGAGCTTTCAAATAAATGAGGACATTGCGTGGGCATCCTTCAAAGTGGACCCCTGTACCCTTTGCTGAGCACCCATACAGGGCTCGTTTGCTTTCCTAATTCTTTGAGAGGAGTTAAGTGATTTACAGGAGCCAACATTGCTCCTGGAAGCACTGGGAGCCCTCCAGAGCCAGGGAGCTGGTGCTGGGAAGGGGATGTAATGCCCTCCGGTGCTGTAAACTCAGACTTGCTCCCGTTTGCAGGGATTTGGCCCTCTGAGTAAGAGACATTTCACCTCTCATCTGCAGGAGCACATTTCCAGCCCACGCAGGGACACAGCCCAACCCACACACTCCGCACACGGCAACATTTTCTAAATCAGGGTATTCACCTCCGTCACTTTCAAAAAGCCTGAAAAGTCAGCAACCACATTCCCATGGGTCAGCATCGCGCCTTTGGGGTTTCCTGAAAGGAAACAGAGAGGGATTTTAAAAGATGAGCCAGTGATTCATTTCCAAAAGCTTAACAAAAACCAAAGCAACATGGTCAAAATATTCAGTTCTCTTTTTAAATTTTAAAACTTAGGTAATATTCACAGCCATTTCTGTGCAATAAGCACTTACTGTAATAATCAAAATTTAATCAAATTATTCTGGAAGGATTAATATTTCTATTGGAGACCTGAACAACAGTTTCCACCACAAATAGCCCAACTGCAGTTTATGATAGCGCTCAGATGGAGCTGCTCGATGAGTATGACCATCAGCCCTGGCTGACAGTTCCCAGCCTCCGCAGGTGGGATTTCTTTCATACGGATTTTGACTAAGAGTGATCCTGAATACCAACGAGCCCCATTCAAAAGGCTGTTCAGCTCTTATTTATGCACTGGATAACCTGAACAATGCAGAAAACAGGTAAGACATGGTAAACATTCAGCTACAAGGAGACTCTATGAGCCTGCAGTTAAGGGAAGTCATTAATACTGCCAGCAGCAGAGCAGAGGGGTCCTGCAAACAGCACCGAACCCATCAGGAACCAGCAAAGCCCCTGTGCAGCTCGATGCCATCAGTATTTTCACCCTCTTTTCTCTTCCGAGCTGAGAATTCCCCTTCGCACCACAAGACAGCTTTTGCATTTCATATCTGTACGCCAAAATACGGGGTTAGTTAAGCAGCAAATCACAGAATCACAGAAGGGTTTGGGCTGGAAGGGGCCTTAAAGCCCACCCAGTGCCACCCCCTGCCATGGGCGGGGACACCTCCCACCAGCCCAGGTTGCTCAAAGCCTCATCCAACAGCCTGAAACCTGCTGGCACACAGACTGTACCGAGGGACCCCTCCGAAACGCCTGCCTGCGGTGGGGGCATGGGGGGCTCCGCACGCCCTCCTGCTGCAGCACCGTCCCTTTCCATCACCCTCAAAGGGTTTCTTTCCAAAAAGAAGGTGGAGCTCAGCTCAAATAACGATTACAGAGCCAGCCTCTCCCTCCAGCGTGTTTTTAAGCAGATTGTTTTAATTCGATCACGCCACTGCAGCGCAGCTCCTGCCACGCCGCGCGGAAGCTGATCAGAGGAGCTTTATCCGCAGGGACCCCGGGCAGCCCCGGCACGGCGGGCACAGGGAAGCCCCCGGGAGCTTTGCGATGCTGCTCCAGCTAATGATGGATCCCACAGCCTGCCAAAGGTGTAAATCATGAATGAATTAACAATTTACATTCAATTCAATGAAATTCTGGCTTCCTCAGATTAGGAAGGGGCAATGGTGTTTTGTGAATTGGTTTCAGCGCAGGGAGATATGCTCCATCCTCTGGGTTTCAGAGAAGTTTGCAGGCTGCGGCACCAGCACAGGAGCTGCCCTGCCAGCTTCACCAACATCCCTGCTATCCAGCCTCTCAAATAATTCAACCAAGACCTCAACAGAAGCAGTAATGATCGCATGCATTTATTGCGCTGGAGCAGGACATTTAGAACACAACGTGTTCCACTGAACATCCATCTCTGGTGTGCCGAGTGCCGCTGAGTAACGCAGTCCCAAGTGCTTGCGGATGGACACCCTGCACCGAGGGCTATTTTGGGCTCATGTCCATTCATCCTCCTCCGATGCTCCGAGGTGAAGCGAGGGCTGGCATCCTTCCATCACGCGCTGTGCGGACAGGCTGCGGGCACCCGCTCCGCCAGGCAGCTTTTGTTTTGAGCCGTTTATTTTCACAGCTGGGTGTGCACGTGGGTCCAGACCTCAAGAAACTCCAGGAACCAACGTCAGTTGTAAATACACGTCATCAGCCCAGGACCTGCCCCTGTCTGGCCAAACGTGTGCTCAGCTCCTGCCGTTCTACACGCGGCCGTGCTCCCGCAGCGTTGCGCGAGTTTGAAATGCAAACCTGCACCCTGCGGCCACACCAGCGACAGGTCTGGCTCCTCACAGACACAGCTCTTCAGATGGTTTTGGAAGACTTCTCAGGTGCTTTGAGACCTCAGCCTCATTTACTTACTCCACCTCTAATTATTTTTTTTAATGCAAATGCAGTGCCTCTGCTCAAATCACCGGGATGTGCCTGGAAGCGGTGGGACCATCCTGGCTCCTTCCCCCATGTGCTGGCAGCGGGTCCAGCATCCCAACAGGCTGCGGGTGTTAACGGCATCAAAGCGGAGCAGCAGTGCCAGAGCCAGGACAGCCTTCATCAGGAGGAATCCAGAACAAACCATGCTGCCACGGGAGAGCTGCAGCTTTTGGGGCTGGGGGATTCCTGTAAATTTGGACCTCCTTTAGCTCTCCTGTTTTAAGAGTTAACCCAGCAGAACAGGTGACCCTTACTATGAGCCTTTTCCCAGGTTTACCACTTTAAGAGAAAAAGGCTGGCAGTGATGCTGCTTTCCTTTTTTAAAAAAATCAATGTCAGATCTGCAACACCGCTCTCAAGTTTGAATTTCCTCGTAGAGACACGCCGCGTGAGTGTCCTGTTACGGGAACGGGTGCGCTGCGATCCCGGTCAGTCGGCAGCCTGAGTATGGCAGTTCCTCCTTATCCCAGTGCCAAGCGCGTCTGACAGGTCTCAGAAGCACCAGAAGAACCTTTTCCATGGCCCTAGATGGGTCCTTCCCGTAGCAGCTCCAGCACTAACTCGGTGGTGGGATCCATCAGCGTTTGGGATGTAAGCGCTCTCCTCCGCCGGGAGCCTCCGGCAGGCAGGGATATGCGCCGGCAGGCTGCGAGAAGCTGCTGGGGTGCAATTTTTATCCAACTGGTCACAGGTGGATCCTTGAGGAAAGGACAATTTGCTTCTCTGGAGTAGCCAGCGTGGAAAATTGTATCCTGATGGTTTGGGGATATCTGTGTGCCTTTGGCCCATTTCTGAGCGCTGGTGATTTCTTGGTACAGTGACAGTTGGTCTTGAGCAACCTCGAGCGGTCTCTCCCTTCAGCCTGGGGAGGCTTTTGGACATCCGATCCTATCAAAGGAAAGCACACATTAAAGTCCACTCCTGGTTTTTTTTTGGTTGTTTTTTCTTTTTGTTGTTGTTTTTTTAAACAGCTAAAATTGTTTCCAATTCTACAATTCCCAGGTTACAAACCCTATAGCGAAGACTGGTTTCACACCATACAAAAGTATTTAGAGCCCTTCAGAATTGAAAAAGCACTTGGAAACACATCCAGTGGAAGAAAATTCTAAATCTGCTCATTAAAAATATCCTAACATGGGCTATACAAAAAGCCGAGCCTTTCACATCAAAACACAGCATGGAAAACAGACCAGAGTGTTGATGCAAGCCCTGGAAAAGCCAGGAGGTGATGTGCAAAGTCCTCCAGCTGCAGAGGACGGGGCAGAGGTTCACAAAGCATTGCTCTGGGAGCATTTAGTTTGCAGACAATTTGCAGAATTTGAAATCTCTGGTTTGGGTGGGAGAAAGCAAATGAGCTCCTGGGTTGTGCTATTTCTGTAACTTCAGGCATGTTCCATAGAAAAGCACAAAGCCAGAAACCAGCCCATGATCACATTTGCACATAAAAAAATAAAATTTAAAAAACCCTTCTCTATTCAGAATTTCTTATTTATAAATAAAAATCAGGCATGTTCCATAGAAAAGCACAAAGCCAGAAACCAGCCCATGATCACATTTGCACATAAAAAAAGAAAATGAAAAAAAACCCTTCTCTGTTCAGAATTTCTTATTTAGAAATAAAAATAGCAACAAAAACATGACTTGGAAAAATAATTGCTCTGCACTTTAAAATCCACACGAACAAATTGTTCCCCACTGTATCTGCAGGCACAGCTCCTTTCGTTTCCTACAACTCCCACCTGTGCCCAGACGCTTTGCAAGGGCACAGCCCGTACACAGCTCTGACATCTGCAGCCTGCACAGGGCTTAACCTGTTCTTTCGAGGAATTCCCACTGCTGAGACAGAGCAGAGGCACGGCTCCTTTCACACCGCGCACTGCCCGGGGTGCTCGGAGGGGCACAGATCTCAAAACAAAGGATGATGCATGAAGGGAAAAAAAAATAAAAAATCTGCGCCTTTTGTGACATTTTGAGTTTGCACTTGATGAAGCAGTTGCCTACCTGCTCTGCAGAACAAGTCTTCTCCAGGAGGCTGAAGGCGAGGATGTCCCCTCCGGCTCAGCCCGATGGCAGGTTTTCTCTCTGCAGCCTGGGCAGCACAAGCAGCTCCTCCTTGGAGGGCAGCTCTAAATGAGCGGAGGCCAATCTGAGGATGTTTGGGGCCGGACCAAGCGTTCGTTCTCAATCCTCAGAGAATGGGTAAACCTGGGAGAGCCCCTCCAGCAGCCCCTGCAGCATGGCCCTTCCCTGCTGGGAAGTATCAAAGCGCTTTCCCGAGCAATCACTACAGATTTTTGGTAGATGTTACAAGAGGAGGAAATTCCTGCAAGCCGTATGAAAACCAGGGTGTGGAGAGAGGAGAAAGCACTGCTTCTGCTGAGAACTGGCAGGAAAATGTGCTCAGGATCCAGAGAACAGAAAGCTGTGGACCTGCATTTCTGCATTTTCTTTTTTTTTTTTTTTTTTTTAAACATTTGCAGCAGATAAATATCAATCAATCAAGTGCTTCACAAACTACACTGCAAAATGGGAAACAGAACCATGGGCAGATTTCCAGACGACAGGAAAACCATACTGCTGAATTGTATGTCAGGGAATTCAAGTGAAAAATAATTACGTCACTATTTTTCATTTGCAATCCACAGAAATCTATATACATCTATAAATACTAAAAAATGCAGAGAAGTATCATTGCCCTATCAGTATGTTTGCGCATGCTGAAGTGGTATTTAATAATTAATTTGATAATCTGTTCTAACATTTCGAGACTAAAATGCCTCTTCCCTTACCTGTAGTGCCACTAGTAAAACAGACAATGGACAGATCTTCTGGCCGAGGAGGCTAGAAATGCACAAGGAGAGTAAGAAAAATCACATCAATCAAATGCAGCAGGGTCCAGGGCAGGCTGTAGTCACTGTGTAAAATTAAAGATCAAACCAATTGTATTTCATCTCTGCAATAAAAAGCTTTCATTGCCCTTGGCAAATATAAAAGATCGTCATAAAACTCTTTTTATCAGGTTTCTGCAGACTCTACTCCTCCCTTAGGCTTTGCTCCAGCGGCATTAAGGGCGTGCTTGAGCATAAGAAGACTTTGAGGGAATATTTGTCTTGTCATTGGTGTTTTCAAAGACACCGTCTATACCTGCAGGTGTGTGCGAAAACTTGAGGTGATGTACTGATGCCCAGATAAATTCTGGAAACGTTGGTTGTCCACAGCAGGGGACAATCTTCCAAAGCTGCTGATTGCTCCCGTTTGCTGCACTCTCAGCATCCCTATGCGCTATTTTGGGTCACAAATTAATAAATAAGTGGCCTGAAGGAGGCTGCTCTTGAAAGCTTTGCACAAGTATGAGCAGCTAGTGACAAATATCAATGTGATTTCCCAAAAATATCCCAGAGCAATACTGCCAAGAGGCGTTTCTGAGCTGTAGAAACCCCACCAGAAAGCCAAGGGTGCAAAAATATTTCCTGCTGCTGCCTGGGTAAGGGAGTGGAATTAGTGTGGCTTAACAATGGCATTTAATTACTGTCTAACATGTTCAGCAAGGGTGAACTATCTCCATGAAGCGTCCCAGGCAGAAGGTATGAAGCGAACGGTGCCCAGCTCCAGGGGATGGCATGGACAGCCCCTGGGCTCCTCCGCTGCCTCCCACGGGGCACAGCCCCTACGGACACGAAGCTTCTGCCAGAGCAAAGCCTTCCCTCTCTCGTCAGGGAAATAAATGTAACACAGGCAGCTGCAATTGTAAGTGGGAAAAGCAGCGTGCCAACACTCACCACAGGCACGTGGCGATTCTCATGGCCGCAGTCCTGAAAGAGAACAAAGGAACAAAAATGATTTCCATGTTAATTCCTGTGGTGTAACCCACTTCCTAATAATCTGCAAACCGCTAAGGGAGAGCATGAGCTAGAGCAGATGAATTTGTGGCTAACGCTTAGGTCATCTTTTCTATCCCAAGTTTATTGTGTTCACTGCAATGCCAGCCTCAGATTTCAAGTAGTGCCTGGTTTGGTTGAGCTGGATCCAGGCTGTTTCCATAGTATAGAATAGAATAGAAATAGAATAGAATCATTAAGGTTGGAAAAGATCACAAGAATCGTCAAGTCCAACCGTCAACCCAACGCCACCTAACCCACTAAAATGTATTCATAACATAGAATCATAGAATCATTAAGGTTGGAAAAGACCACAAGGGTCATCAAGTCCAACCATCAACCCAACCCCACCCAACCCACTAACCCATGTCCCCAAGCACCACATCGACACGTTTCTTGACCCCCTCCAGGGATGGTGACTCCACCACTGCCCTGGGCAGCCTGTTCCAATGCCTGAGCACTCTTTCAGTGAAGAATTTTTTTCTAATATCCAACCTAAACCTCCCCTGGCGCAACTTGAGGACATTTCCTCTTGTCCCATCACTTGTTGCTTTAGAGCAGAGCCCAGCACCCACCTCACTGCACCCTCCTTTCAGGCAGCTGTAGAGAGTGATGAGGTCTCTCAGCCACATACCATGTATGTGTTTCTGCCAATAAATGCAAGGCTGTAGGCTTACATGTAGGACGACAGTGTCTCGAGCAGCCCTCTCCACTTTCCAGGCTTAAATAGCAGCTGATACCTTATTTGAGCAGGAAGGATTGAAACGTTGGCTCTCCTATCAGCAAGGAATAACACCAAGAGCCAGCTGCACTGAGCATCAATATTAACAGCCCCAAGGTGCTCTCTTGGGCTCTCCAGACACTCACACCTGCCATGCAGTTCACAAGTCCTGGTGTATTTCACTGTCTTTTTACAGAAACTACAAGATACAGTAAAGAGAGAGGGAGAGCAAACGCACCTCCACCTCCTGCATGGTCTGGATGCGAACCCCGCAGCACCGCCCTCTCTCCGTCAGCTCCTTCTCGAACGGGTCCATCAGGATGATGGAGCTCAGACCTGGCGTTTCCCTCCTCTCCACGTGGTCCAGGAGTACTCTGGCTTTTTCGGGTTTGTCACAGATGACCGTGGAAATGTCAGCTGGAAGAAAAGCAGCCAAATGAGCTGTTTACAGTAAATTATTTTTTAATGCAAGACTGGCTGCTGGCTCATCGCTCACGTTATATCAGCTCTGATATTCACTTCAGGCTAACATCACAAATGCTAGAGTATAATATACAGTTCTCTTAGGAAATTGCTACAATTCTAGCCAACTAAAATTAATTTGCTTAAACTAATTGATTTTAACTAATCAATGCCGGAGATGTAACTGACATCTACAATTATTCTGGGATTCAGTTCAAAATACTAAAGTTGCTCACCATGTGGGCTAAAAACTCTAGGAGGCAAAATACAAAGCAGCAGAGGAGTGGGTGGCCGTGGAGTAATTCCTGCCGTCAGAGCAGCCCCATCCGTGGCTGTGCGTGACTGGAAATGCAGCAGAGGCAAACCTGGCCCAGCGTGGGGACACCCCGCTCCCCTGACACCTCTCTAAGTGACTTCCAGCTACTCAATGTGTAAAATCACCCATCTTTTGGAAAGCAGAAGAAAATAAACCAATCTGAGCGATAAAACTGGAGAAGATTACAATTTTTTTATTTTTTTTTTTTACCTGTGTTGATGATGTAACGAATGGCTCCAGGACCCAAGGTGTCATAGAGGGGAACCACCACCATGGAGTAGGTGTAGCACGCCAGCTCAGAAATGATCCACTGCAGGAGGACATCAGGGCATGACGGTGAGAAGGGGCCACAGGAGCAGATTTAACACACTCGAGAACAAGCTTCAAGTGTAAAGCAAGCTCAGAAGCCAGGAACGTTATTAATACAGCACCAAGTTGAACTTAAAATCTCACCTCTGGACGGTTTTGAGCAAAGACCCCAATGAACTGCTTCGTGCATGGCTTGCAGCCCTGCTGCAGCAGCCCTGAGCCCAGAGCTTCTGCTCGTTCAGCCACCTGGAGTTTGGAGAGAAAAAAAAAAATACATTAAAAAAAAGGAATATAAGCAATACCAAGCAAAGCAAGACTTAGCTTATACAGGGAAGCCTCTCGAATTATTGTATTTGCTGTCTTAAAAGCCCAATATTTTATGTTATCACAAGCCATCAGTAGCTGACTAGGAGCTGAGCTCTGGCTGGCAATGCCCACGGCTTTGAGCACGTCAGTGCTGCTGTCATGAGTGGGCTGGTGGCATGGGCTGGTCCCCGAAAGCCTGTCCAGCACCGGGATGTGCCCGGATGGGGAAACCAAGAGCCGTCACATGGCGTGCTGGCAACCTCCCGGTCTAGTGTATGTGTTACCGACGGGCACCTTAACACCCCTATCCTCTGCTGGGCAGGGTGGGAGCTCTGGGGGA